TCATCCTATTACTATTACTCCAGTTTACAAGATCATCCGATCCTCCTGTATGATATCCCGGTCCTTCTCTAAATTGGCAATACATCTCAGCTTTGTGTCAACCGCAAACTTTATTAGCACACTCCCACTTTTTGTGCCGAGGTCAGTAATAAAAAGATTAAATAAGATTGGTCCCAAAACCAATCCCTGAGGAACTCCACTGGTAACCTCCCTCCAGTCTGACAGTTTACCTTTCAGTATGACCCACTGTAGTCTCCCTTTTAACCAATTCCTTATACACCTTTCAATTTTCATATTGATCCCCATCTTTTCTAATTTAACTAATAATTCCCCATATAGGACTGTTTCTTATAGAGTTGTTTGAAAGGTCTAGATAGTCAGAGAATTTTCAGGTCGTAATCTCTAGTAAAACAAACCATGTATGCTACTTAAACTTTAGCTGGTTTGTTTTGTAATTTATTTATTTATTTAGTCAAGCTCAGACCAAATGCAGCCTCTGGTTTCCAGGGAAGTCCTAGTATCTAGACGGTTTTATGGCTTGGCAGACTGAGACCCCAAGAGAATGAATATTGGGCAGAGGTCACGGAGTGAGTGAATGGACCAGCTGAGATTTAATCCCCAGGACCTCAGCACCAGGGAACTGCCAGACTCGAAGGATGCCAATATCTGATACACTCATGAGGTTCAAGTCCTGGAAAAGCAACATTCCCATCTGATTATTGGAAGGCTGCTTTTAGAGAACTGCAAGTGAAACCAACCTTTAGTCCCTTTAGAAAAAGAAAGGGCTATTTAAGAAAGACCACAACTCGGTTGCATCCAGGTTAAATTCAAACAGAAGCAAGGGCAACAGAGGACAACGTGGTTAAGTAGGGATGTAGTGGGCGGTCCTCTGTATAAGTAGAAGGCTTTTAAAAAATATAGACAAACTGGTAAGGAGGATTGGGAGATCCATAAAAATAAGCTGATGTAAGCTACAAGGATAATCAGAGGAGCAGAAGGAAACATTGACTAAAATTACAGTGAATATTTCAGCTAACAGTAAAAGATTCTGCAAGTATAGTCACAACAGTCAGAAGAAATTGATCCAGTAAAGGAACCAGTAGGAATTAGAGGCAAGAGATCAAGGAAAAATAGAAGACTTTGTTATACAGGTTTGTTTGTGGAGAGTAGTCTAAGGCTCCGACCCTGCAAATACTTATGAACAGGCTTAACTTTATGCATGTGAATAGTCCCTTTGAACACAACTGGACTAAACTGAGCTCAGTGGAACTACTCATACATATAAAGTTAAATACCTGCGTAGTTCTTTGTAGGACCGGGGCCCAATGCTGCAATTGTATTACAGTATCGTGGGGAGGAGTGTAATGTGCATGGAAGAGTGGAAATGGAGAGTATTTATAATATACATCTCTATAGCTCCCATTATTAGAGGACGTGGTTGCTGGGAGGAGGGGCAGACAGCCCTTCTTGAGGCAAGCAAAGTGTTAAGAAAAGGTAGTACACATTTCTCAAGTCTTAAAGAAAATGACATCAATAATTAGTGAGACAAAAACTGCTGTTTTGAAAAGTTCTCTGATATCAGCTCCGATATTTGAAGGCTCTGAGGGGACAGGATATTAGCAAATCTAATAATATTATTCCTATTTTATTTAGGTACTAATATTGCTCAGCATTGTAAAAGACAAAGTAGACATTCCTTGCCCTGAGGAGGTTACAGCATAAAAGCCAATCAAAGATTCAACACGATGTATGGAGAAACCCAGAGGAGATGTTAATTTAATATGTTTATTTTTAGCTCATTCATGCAGTCTCTCTCTCTCTCTTTTTTAAATTTAGTAAAGATCCCACTTCTTCCCTCATATACCTACCTCTTCCTTTAATGGTGTTGGGAGCAGGGCAAAACTGGGCCCAACATGTCTATCAGATATGTCTATCAGATATATTGCAGAAAGTTATTCTAGATTTGTTAGGTTAGGTGTTGTGGAGAAAATATTAAAATAGAAACAATGAGGAGAGATTTAGTTAGGGAGCCTGCCTTGAAAAACTTAATCCGATTAGAACTTGTTCCTTATCATCTAACTGAGAGATGGGGCAAAGCTGACAAAGGCAAAGCATGCAGAGGCTAGAAGGAGGGTTAATGGCTTGTTGACAAAGTCCGGCATTGGCTTATACAAAGGCTCATGGTGCAGAAAGTACAATAGTTTGTTGAATTATTTTAAAAATTGCTTGAGCAGGAAACTGCAACCCGTTTATTTAATTGGAAAGAATCTTCTACTGAGGAGCCACAAATCCAGAGACTGGAAAGAGTAAGTAGCACAGATGAGAATTCTACTGACTAAGGAGGAGATTTTGGGTAGAGAGGAGAGAACTAGAAAGAGGTTGTCTAAGTATTTCAGTCTAGCCCAACTGTAAAATGGGGAGGGAAGAGGGATGAGACAGGAAATGCTGGTTTGTACCAGTTGAAGGACACTTTGGTGATAACTACTGGAATAGATTACTATGGTCCCCTTTCCATGGGAAAGGTTTGAATGTCCTGGAGAGGGCACGATGCTGACAAAAGCAGAAATAGTCTCATTTTAAGAGGAAATGTGAAAGAGGGTGATGCTGGCAGAAGAATTACTTGAAGGTCACCTACTCTATTAGAAGGACTTACATGTATGCAATAGCTGGATGAGGTGAGGCAGTGAGTCCAGATTCAGAGAATGCAGTCTTAAAGTGATGATAACTGGGCACAACTGTTTGATTCTGATAATGGGTCAGACCCCCAAATCCTTACTCAGTCCTTTCCATGGTCAGCTGCCCAGTGACTTCAGTCAGACCTTGGCCTGTGTCAGGATTGGGCCCAATAAATACAATAGATGGATGAGCTCTCAAGGAAGGTTATCAAAGCAAAGAGTACACTGTGTACAAACCCAAGAGCAGCGAGTGGAGAAGTATCCACAAGCAAAGAGGCAAAGGTTTCACTAGACCTAGTGGCCTTTTTCTGCCTAATCTAATCATTCATCATCTCTCTTTTCCTTGCTACAGTTAAAGTGACTAGAATCTGTATTTGTCTTCAAATATTCCAGCAGTTCCCAGGCAAATTACATCATCACATCAATTGTAATAGTGAAACATCAGGGGGGTAGTTTAACATGGGAAAGGCAATAATGCATTTGCAATTCACTCTAGATTAGTCCAAAGTCTGCCATGCTGACTGCACTTACTCTGAGAAAATTCTCAGAAGATAAACCTAGAGCGTATTTCACTTATAAATCCCAACAGACACTTATTTGGCAAGAGTGACTCCCTGCATCTACAATAAATCGTGAGCTTCAACAGTCCCTAGTGGATTTTGACTCAGTGCCATAGATAGCTAAGCACAAGGCCTCTGGTTCAGGATTCCATAGCTGTGCCAAAGGATGCCTATGCATTATTAACATCTTCAGCACAGTGTTATCTGTGCCATTTGAAATAAAAAAGACCTTCTGGGTCTCCGTCTGTCATTAAAAAAGCGATAACCAATTCATCAAAGCAACCCCACACTTTTCCTTTTCCCTGCCAGAATAAATCACTTATCCCACACACACTCTCTTCAAACTATCTTCTCAGAACTTTAAAGACACTTTTGTTTATACCTGCAATGCTGCAATAGAAACAAACCAATTTTTCAAAATCAGAAAACAAAACAAAACATAATACACTTGCTACAGGGACAAAGTTCCAGTTTGCATGTAGAAATGTACATCAAGCAGAAAAATATACATTTCCAGAAAAACAGCTCTGCTTTCATTTTGCTATGCAGCAGTATTGCAGGAGTACTGGTCCCAGAAATGTCAAGCGTTCAATCCTTTAACGTTCAGTCTCCAATCCTTAATACTGCATTTCCACCTCTTTTAACCTTTATTTTTATCTCTCCAGTTACAGAATAGCCATGTTTGTTTGCAGATGTTTCATCGCTAATGAAAATGTGCAGTTGCAAGGATATTCTCTAATGCGGAGCAGCTAATTAGCCATCAACTATGACACTAATTTCTCAAAACTATGATGTTCTTTTCAAAGTATATTAAAATAGAACTGCTGGATCCAAGTGTAACAACTTCAAACCAAGCAGCATGTCAATCATTTATTAACAGCCAAGGAATTTCAATTGCATTGTATAGAGGGGAAAATTAAAATCTGCCAGAAGCAGGTAAGAAACAGATCTAAAACACTGTCCTCAGTAAAGCTGAAGACTAAAAGTGCATGGTACTTCCTTGGGGTGTTTGCATTTTACCCTGAAAAGTTAAGATAAGCCTTGAAAGGCAGCATTTATTAGTACAGCCATCCTTACTTACCACTAGCTAGTTAGAAATTATTCTGAGTAGCCCTATACCGAGTGATACACACCATTATATTTTTACTAGTTAAATTCAAGCTAGTAAAACTCATAGGAAACTTTATACAGATCATTACAGTTTTGGACCAAGATTGGACATCTACTATGACAGTGCATCAAAACAAGACCTAGGACAAGCAGTAAATAAACCTTAACTGCTTCTCAGAGAACTTGAAAAACCTAGGTAAAACAGCCCATGCTTTAGATAAACTAATGAGGTTACACTTCTCACTGTAATTGTGCATCTGTTCCAACTGGCCTCTGAGGGCTGGATGGCTTCTGATGTTTATTTCCCTTTCCTCATCTCTTTCATCTACCCATAGATAATAATAATAAATAGAAAATCTTTCCCTGTTTTGCATGAGGCCCTCCCAGGCTCCCAGCCCTCCTCCCCCAATAAAAACCTTATCCAGGAAAGTAGAAGAGCCATAGATTCCATGAAGTCCACTAGGGACTTGGCTATTGTTAATCAGTGTTACATTGAAGGCGCTCAAACCCTGGGCACCAGTACAAATCTTTAAAGGCACATACATCAAACAAACGTCCCCGTTTGCTTATGACAGTTGGCTGCCAGGGACCCATTTCAACCCCCACAGGCAATACTTATGGATGGCAAACATTGAGCAGTAATTTGAGAACTTACCTTGGCAGCTACTGAAGAGTTGGGCTTCTCTAGAAGATCCCAGAGTTTTTTCCTCTTGTCCGCGCAGCAGGTGTTATCAAATTCCTCCCCTTCCCTTTCCCTCAGCGTCTCGGCTTCCCTCTTCAGCTCCTCGTTCATCTGCTCTTTTTTCTGGTGGTACCTGGCCTGGCAGCAGGACTCCAGGTAGATCTCGTCGATCCCCCAGTAGTCTAGTTCTTGGCTGAAGGACAAGGCGCACATCTCCTCCATCATGTGCAGCTTGCCCGTGCGGTAGAAGTTCAAGATGGAAGTGAATGCCCCCGGGTGCCGGTCAAAGAAATACTCGTTCTCCTCCAGGTTATAGTCGTCACAGATCTCCATGAGGGACTCGTGCGTGTTGCAGTCCCTCAGCTTGCCCAGCCTGGTCCGGGGCAGCCTGTCCAGGGTTCGCCAGAGAACTTCGTGCGCCAGGCCCCCCACGTTGAGTTTGACCCTCCGGGAGCAGGTCTTGCTCCTAACGATCTCCATGGGGTCTGGAGGCAAAGAGGTAGAAGACCGAGATCCATGCTTGTTCATGCCCGCGGGCATCGCTGCCTCTGGAAGGCTCCGCGGGGCCGGGCACTCACGCTTCAGAGCCGGCGGGCTTCACCTGTTCTCCTTCCCCTCCATGCCGAAGAGCTGCAAGAGAGAAGCCAAAGCCGCACGGGTCATTCCCCCTGCCCGCCGGTTGCGGGCGTCAATCAGAGCGGCCGACAGCTCGGTTCATCGGCTCCAGCGCGGCGCCCGGCTGTGGGAACGCGCTGGCCGCTGTTCGGCCCCGTGGTGCTGAAACCGGCCCGCGCCGGGGAGGGGGAAGAGCCGCTGTGCCCCCGGGGGAGCCGGCCGCAGGGGCAGGGGGCGCCAGGCGCTGGGCACGCCCCGGGGCGGGGAGGGGGCCGAGACTCGCGGGGTAACACGCGCCTTTTCCAGGGCTACAGCCAGCCTGGGAGAGGGGCCGCAGGCGAAGGGAAGGCGCTGGACGCGGCTCTGCCTTGGTTTGTGGAGGGCTGCGAGGAGTAAGAAACACAGAGCGGGGCAATCCCCCCCCCCCCCCAGCGGCTTTAGCCGGACTTGCGGAAGCCAGGAGCATTATTCGAGGCTCCAGGAGGCCATGGCAGAGTTCTGGCCACACAGACACTAAGCCCTGGGGGGACACGCACAGTTCCCCCGCACCGTGCACACAGCACACGCTCCTGTGGGGACAGGCCCCCAGGCTAGCCACGCAAGAAGCGAGGGATGTTTACTCAGCTCTAAAGTCATTACAGGAGCTAGGCTTTCGCTTGGCTTTCGATTGCCTCTCCCCCTTCCCCCGAGCCTCCAGTTTTCTTTGGTTAAACCCAGGTTAAGGAACCGTGAACTTCCAAAAAAAGAAAGTGGAGCGGGTGCTGAGAGCGCGTCCAAACCAGGAGACAGGGCTTCTTGCCACGAAGGGTGGGCGCCCTCCTCCCACGCCCCCCAAGATGCAGGGACGGGATTATGCACGTAGGGTCAGGGGGAACACTGTTCCCAGCTACGGGCTGCCTGCCTGCCTGCCTCCTTCTCTCGCTCAGCCCCAGATGCTTTTTATAACTCTCCCCTTGTGAATCGCCCGGAGGAGATTGGATGGGGGGGGCGGGAAGAGATGGATTGATTGCCAGTCACTTTAAACAACGCATTTCACATTTGGGAGACTCTCCCCCCATTTCCCTCCCTTCCATCCCACATAAATCAACGGAGGGTCAGTAAATAATAATAAACCCAGCACACGCTTATTACGAAAGCAGGCTGCCTTGCAACATCCCCTGGCACTGTTGCTTACACAAGACGGCATTAAAACAAACCCAGTGAAGATGGGAAGCAGCTCACACGGTCCTCCATGCCCAGCCTTCCAGCCCTATACGGATTTCAAGGGCGCGCTCTTTCGCCTCTCGTAGCCAGTGCAGGGATCCTGGCAATCAGTGGCCATGTCTTTAAACAACAGCCGGATCTGCTCCTTGACCGTGACCCTGGCTAGAACCATAAACTCCGGCAAACGCTCCTAAACCGGCTTTCCCCTTTTTCCCAGGCGAGCTGGGCTACCTACCTTCTTCGCCAAGCATCAAAGCCGGGCAGTCGGCAGAGAACAGGGAACCCAACGTGTGGCTACATCCTGCATCAGCCAGAAAGCGAGCAGCGAGCTGAGGCCGTTTGCATTGGCTCCCTGGAAGCCTTAGGCAGACAGATCACAGTAATATTCCAGTATGTCCAAGAACCCCGGCTTGGGAGGAGGGAAGCAAGGCAAATGGGTCCACACAGCCGCCTGAAAGCTGCTGATTATTCCCAGGATCCTTTTGCAAGCAGCTTCCCAAGGCCTGCACTTGGATGAGGCTCGCTCCCTCCGCCCCCGTCTACATTCCAAAATGGAGCCACCTTTTCTCGTTCTAAAGACACACAGGAAAGCGCCTCTCTTTCCTTGTGCTGTCTCTTAATGGAGATCAACAAGTCTGGTCTGAACCTCTAGCTTTTCCCTGCAATTCTGACCCAGCGTTGTTTAGAGTGAATGGGAAGTTGGAGGTTGAGGAGAGGAGGGCAGCGCCACCATGAGCTGGGATGCAGCATTGCAGGAGAAGTTAACACTTGCCGGGCCTGGCTGCTGCCAGCCTGGGGATGATTTAGAAGGGAGGAGCCTGGAAGAACTTTTATTATTGGAGTTTATTAAGAGTGTGGGTGAGAGAGGTTCCTGAGCATTTCTCCTTAAGAGAAGCTGCACCTCAGGTCTTTTATTCACATACCCCCCCCCCCATAACACACACACAAAATCCCTCTGTTCCCAGACAAAATGACACCGCAAAAAGCCAACCAGGATTTGTCTCAGACTAGTAACTGTTAGGAGCCGAAAGCAAAGTTATATTGATAAACGTAGCATGGCCTTTTCCTGTGGCTGTGCCTTGTTGAGCTAGGATCTACTGGGAGTTGAGCTGTTAGGTATGCACCAGGTGGGGTTTTCTCCTTGTCTATTATCTAGCCCTTAGCACATTACACTGTTGCAGTTACTCTGACTTCAGCAGGAGTTTGGTCTGAGTGAAGACTGCCCGATTTCCTCCCTGATCCCTATAGCCTAGCCTTTATTCTACTAGATCTTAATGATGCATGCATAAATTGATACTGAAACATGGAATGGGGGGTGCAGGGGAGGAAGCAGATCTCTGATGTTGGTCCGGTTTATGCACTGCACTAAATAAAGCAAGAAGGAAAATTTCTTGACCCTGGGACAATACTGAAGAAATAACTCTGATGCATGTGGCACTACCCAGCAGGCCCACAACCTATTCTCTGTATCCCCCCCTTCACCTGCTATTTGCTTCCTTCCTCACTCCCAGCCTGTAGAATGTCAATTTAGACTGTGAACTATTCAGTCTGTAAACCACTTGCGTTGGGTGCTACATGAATAATAATTAATAGTGTTCTCCACTTATTACTATGCTTCTCTCACCATCCAGTCTCTCACCCTGGTACTATCATCTAATTAATACCTATATGTTAACCTATTATCCTTATCAAGACAGTGCTATACACACTCGGGGCTTGTAGGGTCAGGACTTTTTATCTCTAAAGGAATAATACCTAACTCTTACACAGAACTTTTCATTAGTACAGCTCAAAACACGTTACAAAGGAAGAAAGCATCATTATCTAAATTTTATAGATGGGGAAACTGTGGAAAAGAGCAGTGCAGTGACTTGCCCAAGATCACCCTGCAGCCACTGGCAGAGCTGGGGATAAAACCCGTCCTGAGTCCCAGTCCAGTGCTCTATTCACTAGGCCACACTGCCTCAAAAAAAGGCTATTACTGTCATTAAAGCACATGATCTTCAGTCAGAAGATTTGGGTTCTATTCTTGCTTCTACCACAGGCTGTGGGAGAGTCCTGGGGCAAGTCATTTCAACTCTAGGGCTCAGTTTACCCATCTGTAAAATGGGGATAATAATAATAAGCTGCCGTGCACGGGTCAGGCTAAATTATTAAAGTTTGTAAAGTGCTTTGAAATCTTCAGTTAGAAGATACTATGAGAACAGGTTATTTGCTTGTGGTACCATCTGTGATGTCCGAGGCACATTATCTTACATTATAATAAAGTCAGGCCTCTGTCTGTATAAGATGAAGCATCTCTGAAGGATTGTAAACATTAAATGGTACAAATTCAAATCGAATGAAGAGCTCCTTTTTCTAACTAAACAGGCCCCACTCTCTCAAATGCTAAAGTGGTGTGGTCATCTGCTCCAAATGCCTATCAATTTCCCTGTGAGATTCATTTTAAACTTTGACCCAATGAAAGTAGGATGTAAAAGCCCTCCCTTGGAAGACCTAAAATCATGATGGCTGGACAGCATCAACAGATACTGGTCTCTCATGGGCATCCTATCCTGAAACGTACCAAATTTGGCTTAGAACAGAATATCATGGAGGTGCATAACACATTCGGTGACCTCTATCCTGTCCAAGCAACAGCGTGAGAACTAACCTCTGCCTGTTTACAGGGGAGCAGGAAAACGACAAGTAATACAGAAGACAATAAATCAGATTCAATCCAGATAAATCTTGAGAAGAGAGGCAACCCTTACTTTTATCACCAGTGCATTTATAACCTTCTACACCACTCTTATGACACTGGTAATATCATTCACATGTTACTGTAGAAACTATGGAGTACTAGCTGAACAGATCATTGTAAGGATGGGAAAAAGGATTCACAACAAAATAGCCTATAACCAAGTTAGCAACATCACTGTTGATTGTTCACATTAGACTCCTTCCTGCCTGTTAATGCTCAAACGAACAGGCTCACACTGGAGTCAGAGTGACTTCTCATAGAAAAGCTGTAGGATCAGGCCCTAAATAAGGAAGGAGGATTGCCAAGCTGATTACACCTGAAAAGAGTCTATTCAGAGCAGGGCAGGCTCTAGGATTTTTGCCGCCCCAAGCAAAAAAACTTTTCGCCGCCCCCAGCTCCGCTCTTTCCCAACCCCTTCCCCAAATCCCCGGCCCTGCCTCCTCCCCCTGGCGTGCCGCATTCCCCACCCCCCATTGCTTCCTGCGGCTCCCCCCGCCCTAGCTCACCTCCGCTCCGCCTGCTCCCCTGAATGCTCCACTTCTCCCCTCTCCGGCGAGGGAGAGGCAGTGTGCTCAGGGGAGCAGGCGGAGGTGAGCTGGGGTGCCGGAAGCACATTTCTAGGGGCGGCATGGCCGGCGCCGGAATGCTGCACCTGGAAATGTGCCACCCCAAGCACCTGCTTGTTTTGCTGGTGCCTAGAGCCAGCCCTGATTCAGAGAGTATTTCTATAGCTTTGCGTCCTCCCAGAAACTGCTCACTGGGTCAGCTCAGGCAGTTTGTCAGCAAAGGGCAGCGCAGGGATGCGATGATATAATACACACCTCATCTTCTGGCAAAGTTCTCTAGCCCAATAGCACACAGTCTCTCTGGCTCACCTCTCTCGGCTGATATTTTGTATACCCGAAACATCTCAAATCTTAATTTGTGGTTTATTCTTTCAAGGCCCATGGAGCCCACCACACACTTGAACAACGATCATTGGCAAATCCTGTTCACTGCCAAGCATTTCTAGTTATTAACCAGGAGATTCCTTAAACCTCAAATACTTCAGAGAGCATGTCTAGTATATGGTTCAAATGTATTCCCCTGGGTTTACCATTAACTGAAATTACCTATCTACATACCCAGATTTTACCTGATAAGTGCCAAGGAGGATAAAGCAGCCTCTTCAGCATTTAGCCATGGCTTTCAGCTCCTTAGTGGAATATTCTGAGGCTACCTGTGGAAAATATCCTGCCACTGGTCAGGACTCCCAAATGTCATTGTCTCCCATAGGGTTCCACAGCTGGTAATGTGAAAGGGCTGCCCAGCTTAAAATCATTTCCAGCGTCTCCCTGTCCATTCCTGTGGGATAGATGAAAAGGTTGATTTACACTGCTTTGCTGAACTTAACATAAACAATACAGCTGTGAGGAAACAAGGACTCCTCAATATAAGGCAGGGGTTCTCAAACTGGGCGTCGGGACCCCCCAGGGGGTTGCAAGGTTATTACATGGGGGAGGTCACGAGCTGTCAGTCTCCAAGCCAAACCCCGCTTTGCCTCCAGCATTTATAATGGTGTTAAATATATAAAAAGTGTTCTTAATTTATAAGGGGGGGGGGGAGGTCGCACACAGAGGCTTCCTACGTGAAAGGAGTCACCAGTACAAAAGTTTGAGAACTACTGATATAAGGCAACTCTAAGGTCTCTCATGACAATGAATGATGGCTCTCAGACTGTGGTCTGCACAACATCTCTGGGCAGACCAGGAGGTACTGTCTGGTCACATGATACTAACATTCAAATGTATTAAAAGACATCACACACCAAACACTTCTCTAACGTTGCTGTGGTTGTCCCAGAGATGTCATGCACTTGTGAATGGGAGAGGAAGTCACTCACAGGGCACTGTCCCTCTGTTAAAATGTGTTTCTCATTATGTAAATATCGGGAACCCTTGACCTCTTAGTCATTCCTTCTGTTTCAAGGCCCTTTCAGTCAGGCCAATGAAATAGCAAGGTATAAGAGGGATTTCCAAACTTCTTATTTGGAAGCCCAGTGTGCCTGCTCTTAAATGGGGGAAAGAGTAAATAAAAAACCAGGTTTCTCCCCAGGAGTCCCCAGCGTGTGTTTCAAAATGAAAGAATTGACAGACACAGACTTTGAGAGTCAAACAATGGCTTGTGCAAGTCACAGCCCAACAACTCTAAGATACTAAAATACCAGGGTAAAGTGCTGGTGGCAGAAGGCCCACACCTCTAGAATGCTTTCCCTGCTGAGATACAATTAAAAACAAATCTGTACACTATTGGGCCCACCTCCAGAAAAAAAACATCAATGCCAACTTGATCCTCCCTTGCTCTCCACCTAGTTGACCTTTCCATCCTTACAGTTGCCTTCAATGAAAATCTAACTACCTGGGTATGGGTTTCAGTTGCAGCTGCCGCCTTGTACTGCCACCCAGCCTGGAACACAACTGATCTTGAGCCCTCAGATTTGCCTTTGAGGCTCCTCAGGGAAGTAATGAAGAACATGGGAGAGCTGAGCTGCTGCACTTGACATTTTCATTAAAGGCAAAGAGCAAGGGAGGGTCTCCACTCTGAGAAGGGAAACAAAGGGCAAGGAATGGGAGAAGGATTGAGTCATGGGGCAATTTTACTTGTCCCTGGAAGAGAATTCTGTAAGTGGAGTAGCAAGGTTAGCTGGACGTGAGAAGAGTCCAAAGTGAGTACAAGTTGTTTTGGGGCATGGAATCATGAGTAGTGAAGCTATGAAAGATAACACTTGTTGTATAAGGACTGGACATACCATTCAGGGTGCAGAGAGACAGAAAAATCCCTGAAAAGATTCAGAATCCAGTAAGTCTGGATTAGGCTTAACTGAACTTTTCAGAACCTTTTTGAAGTTTCCGCCTCCTAAGCTACCAGTATCACCGCTGGCTGTAAGGGT